GCACGAGCGCGGGGGCCGGGGCGGCTGCGGCCCGCGGCAGCACGGCGAGCGGGTGTGCCAGCGGCGGCTGGCGCTGGCCCAGAGCTGCCATGTGCCCCCCGGGGGTCTGGCCTTCAGCATCAACCAGGTCTGCCCCTGCCAGGCCGGGCTGGTCTGCCGGGCCACCGCGCCCGGGCGAGAGTGAGTACGGGGCTGCCGGGGACCCCCCGCGCCGGGGAGGGGGAGCGGGGGACACGCGGGTCCTGCCCTGGGCGGGGGGGATGGAAACGGGGCAGCGACCGAGGTGCCACCGACGTCCCCGTCTCCTCTCCGCAGGAAGGCGTTCGAGTACTGGCCGGAGAAGAGCGAGTGGAGGTGCCGGCAGCCCTGAGCCGGCAGAGCTGTATTTATTCCCTGTAAATAGCGTGTCCAGAGCCCGCCGAGCGCCCACAAACCCAGCCGAGCGCCGCGCCGAGCCCAGCTGCCGCCGGCGACCATCACCCTGGCGGCGGGGCGGCTGGAGCCCCACTAACTTCGGGTCTTCGCCCCTTCACAGGAGCCGGGCAGGTCCCAGCTCCGTCCCCATCTCGGCCCCGGCAGTGCCCCCTCCCCAGGCACCCGCTGAAGGCCCACCCCAGGCAGAGACACGGCGGTCACTGCAGAGCCGAGTTGTGCCCGGTCTCAGCGCTGGCCCCCGGCACCTGCGGACCCCGTGCGTCGCCCCGCGCGGACCCCACCAGGCACGGCCGCGGGGCAGGTCTCACCGAAATGTTTATTACAAAGAACCAAGCGAGCGGGGCGAGTCCCCCCACACACCAACGAGAATAAATAAATAAAATACACTTTGTCGGGTCTTTTAAATAAAGTTTGTGGAGTGACATAAATACGGGACGTCCCTCTGCCCGCGGGAGGGCCGGGGTGGCCCCACTGCCCGGACCCCGGCCGCTGCGGGGGCGAGCACCGGGGCAGGCAGGTCTCAAAGCACTTGGCAGGCAGTGACACCGAGTCCCCCCCCAAAAAAAAACAAGGGGAAACTGAGGCACACAATGGGTGGAGGCGGCTTGGCGGCGGCAGAACCGGGTTGCCCCGAGCCCCCCGACCTGGGCTGGCAAGGCTGGTGGTCTGGGTAAGGCAGTGACCCCGGGGAGCCCCAGCATCACCCCGGGGGGGGCAAGGGGCTGCCCCATAAGTGAGGGCTGGATGTGGGGTGTCCCCAGCCCACCCGGGTGTGGTCACCCCCCCCAGAGGTGGGTGACGAGGGACGCCCCAGGGTGGGCGCAGGAGAAGGCAGTGCCCTGGGGTGCTGGGGGGG